TGGTGGAATGGCGAGTAACGGCCCCTCAAGGGCATGGGAACAGTCATTTCGGACCAAATGTTCACCGTATTATGGTACTGGGGCTATATTGCTGCTGTACGTGTGTGTGTGTGTGTGTGTGTACGGACAGACCACATTCAAATTGGTTTTTTTTTTTACAGAAAAAATACCTTTGAGGACATTGACCAAAATGCTAACATGGATTAGGTAGATTTGTGTAAATACCCTTTTTTAGAAGTTTTAGGTTCACAGCAACATTGAGAGGCAAGGACAGATTTTCACAGCCCCCTTGCCCACTGGGCAGGTGTTGGAGTTTGGGGTGGGGAGAAGAAAAGAGGATACTAGCCCCCTGATGCTCACCGGCGCTCACTTGACACGGAGCACTGGCCAAGCACTCTGCGCTGTTTGTAACGTGCCCATCCCCCAGGTGAGGATGCAGAGGCCCGGGGACACTGAGTGGCTTGCCCAGGGTCATCTGGGTGGCGAGGACAGCTTTGATCCAGTGTCGGTGCTCTGCCGCCATCCCTTCTGCTTTGGGAGCCACCCTCCCCTTCAGTGGGAGAAGTGTGGGCAGCGGGCCAGCTGTGAAGTGCACGTGGGACAGGCCCCAGTACCTTTAGTGGCAGCTGCAGGGCACGGCTCCCAGGCCTCCCGGGGCTCTGGGCCCCATTCCAGCTGCTCCTGGCAGGTCCTCGGGGCCACCTGCCCAGGCAGCAGAGGAGACATCTTCTGGCCAGAAGTCACCTGGAGAGCTGCTGCCTCAGGTGCGTCCACCTGGCCTTCGGCCTCAGGGCTACCCTTGCAGGACAGCGTGGGTCTGGGGGCCTGGACAGAGGGGCACAGGGGTGGCACAGTGGCCACATCTGGCAAGGATCTGGTGTCCCACGGCCAGCAGACATGGGGCTCTGGGTGGCAAAAAGGGCAGTAGATGGGGGCAAAAAAGATGAAGGGTTGGGGTTTTGCACATCTTTTTTATTTGAAAAGACCTCCTTTAATATATAGCATATATTGCCAAATTTTATAAAGCAGGCTAAAGAAAGGTGCGTATGAGACCATTATTAGTAAAAAATAAATAAGATAGAGGGAAAAGGTGGTGCCTGTGTGGCTGAGTGCTGTAAGCTTGGGTTTTTGCACCAGAGTGATTGGATTTGCATCCTGGACTTGCCTTTGCCTGGCTGTGTGACTCTGGGTGGTTTGCCCACCCTCTCTGTGCTGGATAGTCATTTCTTTGTGCTTTTGCTCTGGTTGGGAAATGGGAACCTACCTCCGCTGATGGAGTGGGATATGTATGCTGGACACGAGGGCGTGGGCACATGATGGGGGCCAGAGGAGATGCCAACAGGAGGCAGGCCTGGCCAAGGGAGGTCGGCAGTGGTGGTGCTCTGGCCAGCCCTGGCTCTGTGCATCTAGCTCCCTGACATGTGCTTGTGGGTCCCACAGCCCTTCAAATAATCTCTTTTTCTGCTGAAATCACCCAGAGTTGCTTTTGGGCGCTGTGCCAAAGGACACCTTTGGAGAGTCTGTGTTCTCAGCTGTGAAATGGCTGTTTTAATGGAGCCCACTCCTCAGCCTCTTTGCCAGGGTCCTTGAACTAAGGGTGTCAAGCCTGAGCACAGTGCTCAGCACCAGCCTTAAATGCCAAGGAAAATCATCTGCGTGTGGGTTGATTTTATGGAAAAGTACTAGAAATGTATATCAGAAAATATTAACAGTTATTAGCTCTGGATGGAGGATTGTGGGCGATTTTAATTTTAAAATTATTATTATTTTGCTTTTCTGTATTTTCTAACCTCCCTACCATCATGATTTGTGTTTTTAAAATGAAAAATGAACAAGTAATTTCCTGGGCTTTTTCCCTTAACTCTTCTGGCCTGAGATGAGCTGCAGGTCCCTCTGGGACTGGGGCAGCAGGGCCCAGGGCAGGGGTGCAGGCGTGGGATAAGCCCCCTCTTGGCCCGCCTGCTGCAGATGCTGCCGGCTGCTCCCCAGGTGCCCATAAATGCCTCATAACTGTAACACATGGCAGCAGAGGCAGTGAACGCAGACACAGCAGTCCTGCTTATTTAGAGGAGGCTGGGGGCAGGTGGGGAGTCACTGCCCCTGACAGCAAAGCCATTTGGATGAAGCCCAGCTCCCCAGGGCTCTTGCTCGGCCTGCCCTTGAGCCCACAGCAGGGGTGGAGGTGGGAGGCAAGCAGGAGCCGGGCCACGAGCAGGTCCCTCCTGTGTGATGACCGCCCCCAGCCCAGGCTGCCAGGAGCTGCCAGGGCCACAGGGCCAGGGTTACACCCCGGACGCTCGAGCTAGGCTGACCTGAGTTAACTCCTGCCCCCACTTCTCAGCAAGTGTGATGTCAGCCAAGTTGCTTCCCCTGTCCTAGCCTCCACTTCCCCTGCTGCAAAATGGGTCTGATGATCCTTTCCAGCGAGGGCAGGGGTCTCAAGCTCAGGCATTTTGCCCCCAGTTTTCAATACCTAGAGCCACTTCTGCTTGGCACAACAGGGCAAGGAGGTGCTGCTGGCATTCAGTGGCCCGAGGCCAGAGATGCTGCCATATATCCTGCTGTGCACAGGATGGTCATCCCCTGCATCCCACCCTACCCTGAAGAAGCATCCAGCCCCAAACGTCAGAGGCCCCACCGTTGGCCAACCCGTCCGAGGGTGAAGGTGAGGGTAGATGTAACCATGCACGCACATCCCCCGCACCGTGGAATGGGAGCCTTATCCTCTCCACCTCTTGCAACCAGATGAAAAGCAGGAGCTCTAGGGACAAGGATACACCATTTAAAAAGGTGGGGCTGTGACTGGGCTTCACTAACCTTATGTTCCCCTTCTTCCCACTGCCTGGAAGATGTCAGTCATCTAAATGGCCACTGGCAACCTTCCACCACCTTCCAGCAGAGGTCAGAGCCTGAGCTGCCTCCTGGGGGACTGGGGCTGCCAGTCTGATTTATGATGTGCTCCACCTCCCCGGGCCCTTGCAAAGACTGGTCCCAGGGAAGCTGACACGGCGCTGTTCCGGCTGAGAGGTCAGGGAGAACAGACGGCTGCTCTCCGAGGTCCCTCTCCTCCTGGACTTCTTGGGAGGCTTCCAGGGGCCCACCCAGGTGGCACAAAGTGGGGTGTGTGTGTGTGTGTGTGTGTGAGTGAATTATGGTGGTTCCTTTATATTTTTAGGTGGTGATGACTAGGAGGAAGGTGACCATTGTTTGTAAACCACAGTCAGCAGTTGGTGTTTATCACTGTGGATTTTGGCCCTGTGCACCTTCAAAGGTGGAGGCAGGCCCTGCCCTGGGAAGAGGCGGCTCCAGATGGCCAGGCCCTGAACCCCCTGGCCTAAAGCTGTGACCCACAGACTTCATGGACAGTGTTACAGTGCTGGGGGGGCTGCAGTCCCCCCAAGGACAGAGGGTCTTAGGCTCTCTGGCCTCAGTGGACTCAGCAGGCCTGGATGCTGGGTGGAGAGAGCCAATATTTTAGGAATTGGTAAGTCTTCATGTTGCAGAAAACCCAAATTCCAGTGTTTTAATCCCACACATTAAGAAGTGCAAAGGTCGGTAGCCACAGCTGGTGAGCCGGGCCCTGCTGGGTCCTCAGCACCGTCATCCTGGGGGACACTCTCACACCCAGGGGTGCCAGGCGGCTCTTCCCCCACTGCCAACCAAGCACCAGGGGGACTCAAGAGAGAAGGGCCAGGGTCCCCAAATTGGACAACTGAGGTTTGGTGGGGAGTGGAAGGAGGGGAGGCTTTACAGGAACTTTCTGGAAGCCCTGCCCATCACTCCTGCTTACATCTCATTGGCTAGAAGTGTGTCACATGGCCACTCCTATCCACAAGGAGGCCCAGATAGGGCTCAGTGGGGTTCCGTCAATAAGAAGGTAAGGAAGCCTCTGGAGACTGGCAGAGGCGCTTCCTGCGGGGGCTGGAGCTGCCCCCCCTGGTGCTGGGGACAGGAGCTGAGCGAGCCAGCAGGAGGGTGGTGTGTGGCCTTGGGAAGCTGTGAGCCATACGTCATGAGCAGTCGTAGCTTCCCCTTTGTGGCACTGGAATCTCTCATCGTTAAAGCTTTGTGAAACTCGGTCATAGCCTTGCTTTAGGGACACGTGGGTCAGGTGCAGGCCTAAACTTCCCAGCCTCGAAAGGGGGGCTGTGCTGGCAGAAGCTGGTACCAGAGAGTAACAGCAGGTGGGACTTAAGGAGCAGCTAGGAGCCAGAACTGGTCCGTGGGCCGGGAATCTTTGGGGCTGCTTGAAAGTAAGCAGATAAGGAGGAAAGTCCAGACCTTCTGGAGAGCTAAGGGGGAGGTGCAGCCCCCAAGGGCTGGAGATACGGGGGACCCTCCCATAGCAGAGCTGAGGTGATGAACCCCATTTTCAGAGCCCCCTCTCACACTCCCATGCTGCCCCTGGGTCCAAGCCACCCCCTCCCTGATGTTTGGGAGGGAAAGGGGAAGGAGAGGCTGCTGGCTGTGGACCCTTAGGTTGCCCCCTCCCCTGCCTGAGCCTCCTGGGGAAATCTCTGGCCAGCAGGGGACTCTGGAAGGAGGACGCAACAGCCAACGGTGGGCCAGAGGCTGGGGGTCCAGCAGGTCTGAGGACACATCCATGCTGATTCTTCAGCGGAAGCATGGAAGTCAAGCTCAATGAGAACACCCACCTGTCATTTCCCTGGGACTTTCAGCAACCAGTCAATGTCCAGCACGTGCTTTTAAATTTGGAAAAGTGCCAATAAACTCTGGCTCTTTTCTTTGAAGGAAAGGAGGGACACAACCTCCCAAGTTTGGGGAAGCTCGTAACGCAGGGCACACCTGGAGGGGAGGAGGGTTGTCTGTCCTCATCCACAGAAGGGTTGCGGAAGTGGTGCCCCCAACAGTGAGATGGTTTCTTTAAGGCTATTCTGCAGGGGCTTGGGGGGTCGGGGGGTGGGGAGGGGTGGCTCTGTGCGAATCCCCAAACCTGCAGGTATGAATGAACACAGCAAGAAAACAGCCCTGGAGGCAGCAGTGAGCAACTCCTTTACTCTGCCGGGTTACACGCCATCAACCACCTGCGCCCGCCCCCGGTCCTCCTTGGAGGGGATGGTTAATAAAAACAAAAATAGTTACTATCTGCAAAACACAGTATCCGGCCCTCCCTACCCTCCCTTCCTGACTCCCTCCGCCAGACGCTGAGCGCCTTGGTCACCAGGCCTCCGAGGACCCGGGGTCTGAAGGCTGCAAAGAAAAACTATGTAAGAGAATCAAGTCAGCGACTGGAGAGTTGTAGGCAGCTGGGGTTCGGGGTCCGCTGGCTGATGGGAAGCCAGGGACAGGCGCAACGGGTGTCCGCAACAGTGTGTGTGTGTGTGTCGGCAGGCAGGGCCTGGGGTGTTAGGGTGAGCAGCGTTTCTGCCCACCCCCATCTCACCGCCGGCAGGAAAAAAAAAGGGCGGCAGGTCACGGGAAACTAAGACCCGAATGCAGGCCCTGGGCCAGGGCCCCACAGCGCCCCCTGCGGCGGCGGGGGGCGGTGCAGGGCGGGGGCAGGGGCTGGGGGGCGGAGTAGCTGTCTGGACTGCTGAGTAGCACCTGGGAGCAGCTCCGGCCGCACCCTTCTCGTCGCCCCGGCACAGGGTGCGTACCCCGGCCTCCCCGGTCGCGGGTCCTCGGGGGGCTCAGCAGCCCAGGAGGGCGGCGAGCGCCGGCAGCAGCAGGCAGCCGAGCAGGGCGGCGGGGCGCGGGGCGGCCCCAGCTGCGCGGTCGCAGTCCAGGCCGCCGTGGGCGGCGGGGTCGCAGCGGGGCTGCTCGCAGCGCACGCCGGTGTAGCCCCGCGGGCAGGCGCAGCGCTGGTTCTGCACGCACGTGCCGCCGTTCTGGCAGAGCAGTTGGTCGTCGTCGCACACGTTGGCTGCGGGGCGGAGGGGCAGTTAGGGCGGGTGGCGGCCGGGTCCACCCCACGCGCGAGCCTCTGCGAACCCCTGGGGGCGAAACGGCCTCTCCCCGCTCCTGGCCTTGGTGCGGTTCCTCACACGCACCTGCTCTCTCGCCTCCAGGGCTTTGCACATGCTGTTCACGTGCCTGTAGTGCCCTTCCACCCACTTCTGGGCCAAACGCCCCTCAGCCTTCGGGTCTCCGCCAGGCCGTCGCTTCCCCTGAGGGCCTCCCTGTCCCCCGCCAGCCCTTCCATCTCGGCCACCCCTAACCAAGCCCCAGCTCCGCCTTTGCCTTCAACTCCCTTCCCCGCGCCGCCCGGCACCCCCGCAGCAGGCCCCGCCTTGGGCCGCACCTGGCCCCGCCCGCCGACCCGGACCCCACCCGCGCCGCCAGCTCGGCGCGCGCACTCACGGTAGCAGCCCTGGCGCCAGTAGTGCGTGGGGAGGCAGTCGTCGCACTTGGGCCCCACCGCTCCCTCGCGGCACTCGCAGAAGCCGGTCTCGTTGCACCGGTCGTGCACGGAGCCGATCTGGTTGCAGTTACACTCTGGACGGACACGTGCGTGGCGTACGGTCAGGACGACTTGTGCCCGGACCCGCATCCCTCCCAGGCGGGTCCCCCAGTCCCCGCATGATGCTCCCCATGCCGTGTCCGCCTGCGCCCGCGGCTGGGGAGTCCAGCTTTCCAGGGAAGGCTGTCTTCGTTCCCGCAATCCATTACCCGCCCCACTCTTCCTGGCCTTGGCGCGGTGTGGCCTGGGGCAGCCCCTTCCCCTCTCTGGGCCTTGGTCTCCGCCTCTGTAACCGGAGGGGGCGCTGATCCTTCCCAGTTCCAAAGAGCTTTGTGACTGACAATGGGAGGAGCCTTATCAGAAGCCAAGGGGCATCTTCCCGGAAAGAGGGGTGGGCTGTGGTTTGTGTGTGCGGTGCAGCCCCCATCTGCATCTCCTCTCCAGGACAAGTGGAGGAGCAGTTCCCCTGCCCCTCTGCTCTGTGGGAGGGGGCACATGTCCCCACTCTGGGAGTGTTGGGAACCCAGTGCTTGGCATCGGGGTCCCTGCAGAGAGAGTCAAGCAAAGAGGGAGGGTGCTGGGGCACCGGATGCCTCTAATTGGATCCGGAGGCCCCGCTCTGTGCCTGCAGCTGGCTGGTGTGACACGGGCAGCACAATTCCATTCAGATCACCTTAGAGTTGATGGAATTATCCGAAGGCCCCTGCGGTGATTCGGACTGACAGCTCCAACTTTGCGGCAGCCCTTCCTCTGCAGGGCCAGCGCTGGCCTGGGAGGTGGGGGATGGGTAACGGAGTCCCGAGGGGGATGGGCGCCCTGGGCTGAGACCTGGCCTCCGCTGGAGACAGAGGTGGACTGCTGGGCAGCCTTGCAGGCTATTGGCTGTTGGCTGGGAGCCAAGGCTTGGCCTTTTGGGACAGCCTGCCCCTGCCCAGGCCCAGGGTCTCCAGGGATTGCCTGCTCCACCCCATGCTGGTTCTGGAGCAGAGTTTGAAGAAAGCAGAGCAGGTGCCCACTGTGGGTGGAGGGCAGCTTTATAAGCTAAGCTCCTGCTCACAAAGCCCTGGAAAGTTTTCATTGTAAGAAAAGCTTCAGCCCCAAATGAAGGGTTGAAAACCTTCTATCTCCTCCACTTCCTGATTTTGCAAATGGGGAAACTGAGGCCCAGAGAGAGGAAGGGAATTGCCCAAGCACACTCAGCAAGGCAAGGTCTAGAATCAGCCTTTGACTCTAACCACTGGCTCTGAAACTCAAGTGCCCGCGGGGAGAGCCACATGAGGAGGCTATTAACAGAGCAGATTCCGGAGGCTTCTGTCCTTTGAGATGCGCCGCTGGAGGGGGCCCTGGAGGTGACATCCCTGCAGCCTCCCCTAGGAGTCCGACGCCATCACTGCCCTGCACAGCTTCCCGAGCTGTGCCCGCAGCCCCACTCACCGATGCACACGTTCTCGTCGTCCAGCTCGGCGGAGCCGTTGCGGTAGTAGCCCAGCCGGCAGTGCTGGCAGTGCTGGCCCCGAGTGTTGTGCTTGCAGCTAACACAGGTCACCACGTTTAGGAAGTCAATGTAGCTGCAGCGGTTGGAGTGGCCATAGCACTCACAGTCTGGGCCGCCAAGCGTGAGAAACACCAGAGGTCAGTGAGTGAAGGGAGGCTGTGCCTTCCTGCTGCCCCACCCCCACACATCTGGGGAAACAGAGGCACCAGGATGGGAAGGCAGGACCTGGCACAGGAAGGGGGCCCTGGGCCTCAAAAACTTCTGTACCAAGGGAAGAGACAAGCCTGCCGGCCTTGAGCCTGAAGGAGAACCAGTGCAGGCCCAGCCTGCAAAGCCCCACCTGGCCCTGCAGGCAGGGATCCAGGGAGGGCCAGGGCGCAGCACCTGCTAAAGGCCAGGCCGGGTAGCAGAGGGAGGTGCTCGCTGAAGGATGCTGAGTGATGCCAGGGAGACTGGAAATGATTCATGCGGGAAGATGACCGTACCACCAGACTGTGAGCTCAGGAAGCAGCGTGCCTGGGCTCATGGCATTCATCACCTTATCTCCAGGGATTCAGTGAAGGCCAGATGCATGTGGTGTGGGCAAGATGGAAGGGGCCTGGAGCTTCCTCCCCGTGCTGCTTTGGAAGATGCCCACCTACAGGACCATTTCTTATTTATTCTGCAAATTTGATTGGCACCAGAAGACCTGCTCTTGCACCACCCTGAAAGTAAGTGCCACCTTCAAGTTATGCTCCAGTATCTCACTTTGCCTCCCCGCGACCCCAGTCCTGGCTGGCTTCTGACTCTTTCTGGAGGCCCATGGCTCCGTGCTGAGGACAGCTATCTCCATGCCATCCTGCAGTCTCTCCCAGCCCCTGCCCCTGCTCCAGGGACTGCAGGCCCTGTAACCACCCTGGCAAGTCAAGGCAAAGGGGTGGGGTTTGGTGAGGAGAGTCAGCTTCCCTGTCCCCAGAAGCAGACCAGCCCTTGGGGTCCCTGCTGAGAGGCTCAAAACCCCCTTGAATGGGAAAGCCAGTGTGGCTGCCACCGGAGAAGGTAGGATGCCAGCCACCCCCATAAAATGCCATCTCTATCTCTAAAGGACCGAGCCTCTGGCGGCAGGAACTGACCAGGCCTTGGGGGTCAAGGACGTGGGAGACCTTGGAGAAATGAGCCTCTGAGACGTGCCCTGCAGGAGATGGTGGGCATTCCCACACACGGGCCTCCTGTACCTGTCCCCTTCACTTAGAGCTTCCAGGAACAAAGGGTGAGGCACCCTCTGAGTGTCCCAGGGAGCAGTTCAGTGACCCCTGTGTCCCAGATCTTGCTTCGACCAAGAAGAGCCCCTTGGCCACACCTCCCAGGGGAGCCAGGACAGGCTATTTCCGGCAGCTGCTCTGCCGGCCCACACCTGCCCACTGTGCTTCTGACTCACACTTGCTCCCAGCTCCCTTGGGAGGGAGAGACGCTTGGCTTCACCTTGACCCAGCTACTCCAGGAGGGTTTTCTGAGCCAGCACCCATGCTGTCCTGCATCACCATTTTCCAGCGGACGTGGGCAGGGTGTTGGAGGGGCATTCATCCAGCCCAGGCCATCCTCTTACCTTGGAATACTTCAATAGACAACGCCTGAGAGGGCTTGGGCTGGCAAGGTTTGGAGTCCTGAGCAGGGGCCGGGGCAGCAGCAGAGGTGCCCGCAGCTTAGAAAGATGAGAAATAGGCCCTTTCTTCAGCCAGGGCGGGCTGTCCAGAGCCCTGGGCATGCTCTGGTCACCTGCTCAGATCTGAGGCACATGACACACCCAGGAGCCAGCTCTGCCTTTGGACCCCCCTTGGAGACCACCTACACATTTGGCTGCTAAAGTCACCCAAATCACTTCTCTATCTCCAACTCTGCCCTGCAGCCTGCTAAGTACGTCGCTGAAGACGAACCATTGTCTGACTGATTGAAGCCATCCCTTTGCTCTCGCCCCTCCGAACTCCCTTGAGCGTCAGGTCCGGAGTGTGCCCCTGGTATCTCCCTTCCCTCCTGAAGCCGTCTCCCTGCTCGGGCCAAAGCGAGTCCTTTGCTATCCAGAGTCCCGCCTGACAGGTGTTGTTGGGCCATGAGCTCAGGCAGCGCCTGCCTTCCGCTGCCCAGAACCCCTCGGGGGGCCCAGCCCCATCTCTGTGTGGGCATGACACTGTCAGGGCAGCACCATCTCGGCTTCCCTCTCAGAGTCTGTAGTGTCCCAGTTGGTCCGGGGCAGGGAAGTGAGAGCTTCAGCCAGCTCTACCTGTTTGCATCACCAGGGAGGATGTCCGGACTCAGGGGCCTCCAGGCCACCCTGAGCGGCCAACCCTCGCCAGCTGCGGCCCAACTCTGGAATCGCCTGCTGGCAGAGGGTGCTCAGAGCCCTGAATGCTGCTCACAGCTGGGGCTGGAGGCTTGGGGCCGGGCTGCTGCTGACGCAGGGCACTGGGGTCCGATGTCCAGGGGACAGGTGAGCTGGGGTGGTAACAGCCCCCTGCTTGGGGACTCGGGCAGGCCTGTGTGCCTCCTGCGGGTGCCCGTCTATGGCCAGCAGTGGGCCTGAGTGTGTCTCCTCTGTGTGGTGGGCGGATGAGGCTGTTGGCCTGGTGTCACTGCCTTCTGCCACCCTCCTGCCTCTACTAACCAGCACGTCTTCCACTTGCTCAGGCCAGATGCCCACTGCCATCCACTGCCAAGCCTCTGCCCCAGCTGTTCCTGCCACCTGGAATGTGCTACCGTCTCCCTCCATCTGCCCATGGGCAAGCCCCCACCTGGGTCTGATTGCCACCCAGCTCCTGCAGGAAGCCCTCTCTGACTCTGAGCTCCATCACTGCCCCGCGTGTCCAGGGATTGATGGTGGCAGGAGAGGCTGGTGCCAGGACAGAGTCTCCGCTTGGCTCCAAGGCCCTTTCCGGGAGCATAGGATTAGAAGGCGTTGGGATTGGCAGTGTCACACTGGACCTCACACAGTAGGTGAGAGAGTTTGGGGTGGGGGTGGTGAAGCCTCAAGGCCTGTCTCCTCCGCTCCCGTGGGCCCCCTCCCATCCCAGGTCCCCATCACAGACACCTGGTACCTCCAGGAAGACACAGGGGCCTACAGGTATAAGGAGGAGTTTCCTGGAGCCAAGACCATCACAGGCCTTGCCCCCATACCTTCTGCACTGGAGGACACCTGGGGCTCGGGGGGGCTCTCCCCAAGAGGGGCATCTGTAGAGGGTCTGATCCACTCTTGAGGGAAAGAAGAGAAGAAACCAAGTTATGTGGGGGAGGGGCTGGGGGGTCCTGGGGCCACGCTGAGATGCCACATCCCGCAGGGAGGAGAGGCAGCATTCTGTCAAGCGGCTGTGTCTACACTGGCTGGACAGAACTGGGTCCCAATCTACTGGAGAGGCAGCACCTCCACTACTGCACCTGTGGAGGGCACACACAGACGCGGAGCGGGTGAGGGGCCGCGCCCGAGAGCCTGCGTGCTCCGGGCAGTCCGTTCTCAGCAGACACCTGAATCTCAGAGCTCTTCCACCCTCCCTGCGCGGTCCCCGTTCTGATACAAGGGCAGAGTCACGTGGGGTCCTGTCTGGGCCGGGCCTCTCTGTGCTGACGTCCCTGGCTAATGGCTGTGAAGGGGACGTGCTCTGCTCAATACATCAGACGCGTTCAGAAGGATCCTGGGAGGCGTCCTGTCCAATCCCAGCGCAGGGCCAGGAGCCATCCAACCATCTGTCCTGCCTCCCCAGTCACCCCCTTTCCCACCTCCCTGGCCCCTGGTGTGGGTTCGTTTTCAACAGAGACCCCAGTGGGAGTCGCCCCCCAAATGCCACAGTGCCATCCCCAAGACTAAGTGGACACACAGCCAGGGAGGCAGGCTGGGCTGGGGAAGGCAAGAAGTCGCTCCGTGCCAGATTTCAAGGGACAGACCCAGAGGGACGGGGGAGAAATTGGATTTTTTCCACTTCTTAAAGGGATTATGCATGACACCAGTTGGTGGGAAAAGAATTAAAAAATCCACCCTAAAAAGTGCAAGAGACTTTCCAGCTGGGAGCCGGGACCCTCTGGACGTCAAATTGACATTAATCTGGTGCTCAATGAGGAGAAGAGACTGCCGGACCCAAATTGGCAAGGGCTTAATTAAAGCTGCAATAACACCTCGCCCGAAGGCATTTTGCTTTGGAGCCGCTGCCCTCTCTGGCCCAGCAGGGGACAGGATTAGTGGTCCTGAGCAGCCCAGCAGCTCCTGCCCTCCAGACAGCTCGACATTGGCAGGAGGCAGAGACGTCTGGGCCAGGGTTTGCAGGCCCAGCTATACTCTGGCAAAGATCCTGTAGCACCTGTTGGGTGGCACCTGGAGAGACTTACGACCCTTCTGGGGGTGGGATCTTGGAGCAGGAAAAACCCACGACTGGGCTCCCCAGGGGCACGCCCACGTGTGGCGGAAGAAAGACGTTCCGCAGTGGCCTGTGTCGTGTGCCAAGACCAGATGGAGGCCCCGTCTGTTCCTTCAGAATCGGGAGCGTGCCAGCCAGGTCTTAAAGGTGGTCCCACCTCAGAGCCCCCAAGGCCTCAGGGCAGTAGCTCGGGCTGCGCTGGCAGGGAGGTCTGGGTCAGCGAGTCCTACCTACGTGTCTTCCATTTTCTTTTGTTACCTCGAGCAGCGGCTGCTTCTCTTTTTAAACAGCTTTATTAAGGTATGGTTTGCATACCATGAAATCCTGAGAAGCAGCCGCCACCTATTCCTAAACCCTGACATCCTCACCTGCGAGACTAGCAGACTAGTCCCCGCCTCTCAGGGCCGCGGGCCCAGGAGAGGTCCAGTGTCTGCCATGAGGTGACTGTCACTATGGGGCTGGGGGTCCAGGTGCAGTGGACCCAGGCACAGTAGCAGTGGGCCCCGGGGAGGGCTGCTCAGCCAGCGGCTGTCGCGCTGAACCACCTTCCCCCCTTGATGCGCTGCCACTTGGTGCTGGGCTCCCGATGCGAAGCTGAGCCGATCTCACCGAACGTTCGCCCCCGCCTGGAAGGGGTGTCTCCTGACCTGTGCCGCCTCTAGGCTCGCTGCCCCGGCCTCTGACTCTACTCTCCCGGCTTTGCAGTTTACCCTGTGTTCCTGGCATCAAATGAGAAACAGCTCAGGAAATGGATTCCAGGTTCCTTAGTATGTGTGTGACAGAGCGTCTGGCCTCCCACCCAGACAGCGCGCAGGCAGATGCAGCACCCACCACGATTATTTTTGCCCCCGTCTGCCCATCACAGACAGGCTCAGCCCAAAAAAGCACAAGCTTCAGGTGGCAGGGCCAGCCTCTGTCTGGAGCCTGGAATTCCCAGAGTGAACCTGTCCTCCCCAAAGAGCATTGCTGGGCCCCGAGGCTCTCCTGAAACCTTCAGATCTCTTGACCAGCTCCTGACCCCTGCCAGTGCCTCCCATGGAGAAGGGAGGGGGGCAGAAAGAAAAACAGCCGTGGTCTCCCATCATCTGCGCCCCCCGGAGGCACTAAGCAAAGTGGCCCATGGAAGAGGGAGGCTGTATACCAGGGCGTTCACCCCAGCCCAGAGAGGGCTGGGTCCCCCACAACAGGCCAAGGCAAGACAGGCTGAGTGTGGGTGGATCCCCTCTCTCGCTGAAGGAGGGGTCTCTGTTCCCCGGACATGCAGGCCCTTGACACGCCCATGCCCATCGGTGAGAGGGGGAGTCGCAGCCCTGCCCAGGTGAGGTGCCCCCCACCCCCTCCCTGCAGAAGGACAGTGCGGGCAGGGTGGGGCACATGACTGGGGTGCCCCTCCCCAGCTGGGATCAGGAGGAATTCCCCTGGCCACATCTTCCCACCATCCTCTGGGAAAAGAGGGTCCTTTCAGACTCCTGGCACTTGCATGGGCAGGGACTGGCAAGACTCCCCAGGTGAGACCAGAGGCCCCCAAGCCTCAAACGCACACTGACCCCCAACTTGGGAGGAGAGTTAGACTCAGAAAGCAGGTGTTTCCAAGCCTGTCTGCAGCTGCAGACTGCTCAGGGTTGCTGCTCTGGTTGGCATGGGGCAGGAAGTTGGCCCCGGCCTGGCACTGCCCCACACACTCAGCTCTGAAGTGCCCAGCAGTCCATATCCTCAGAGGCTCCCTTCTGCTTTGCTGACCCGAGGAGTTGGCTAGCCCTGCACTGTCTGTCCCCAGGGCTCAGCTGCTGAGGGGCTGGGGCAGAGCAGGACATGGGGCTGACTGGTGGGGCGGGGCCAATCCTTGGAGCAGTGAGGCAGGGCCACCCTGGGAGACACCCCAACTCTGGGTGCAGCTCGCGTGGCCTTGCTTTCGCTGGGCCCTCCTGCTGGGGCGCCCTGTCCTTCTGTCCATGCTGGTCTCGGGGCCTGCCTTAGCAGTGCCCTGGGGGGCAGGAGGAAGGGTCCAGGAGCCTGAGGTGGGCCCTGGCTCCCCAGGCTGGGGCCCTGTACCAGGTGCGGGCAGATGGCCTGGGGCCCTGGGGCCCCACACGCATCTGGCTCTTGGGCTCCAGTGGCCTCTACCCTCAGAGCAGCAGGACCAAGCAGACAGCGGCGGGAACTAGCAGGGAGGAGAAGGGTGGTGCTGTCCCCAGGTGCCCACCTGTGGCCCGCGGTGGGCTGGGGGCCACGGGGGCCCAAACAGTGGATGTGGTGGGGCCGGGAGTGGCAGGGCCCCCCCTCCCAGCTGTGGTGGCCACGGAGGCTTTGGGGAGGGGGTCTTCCCGGGACCTGCTGATGCCTGGAGAGAGATGAGAGAAGCAAGACGGGCTGGGGGAGCTGGCGGGGTGTAGGAGTGACACGGAGAAGCAGCTCACGACCCCACTGGGTGGGCCGCTGTCCCCTCCACGGCCCAGTGTTCTCCGGCGCCCTCTCCACCCACTGGTGTCCCTGCAGGAGCAGCCTGAGGTCAGGTGCGGCCCCAGAGAGCCCTGCAGACACTCGGAGCAGATAGCAATACCTGCCTGGGGGGTGGCGGTGCAGGACTGACTGAGATACTGTGAGAATTCTGCCGGGCAGGTGCCTGGCGCTGGGTCTCCGGAGGAGGCAGCGTGAGGGTGACTGGCTGACAGCCCGTGGGGGCCGCCGCCCCACCTTCCGCACCGGCTATCTGGACGGCCTGCCTCCCCCGGGGGGGCGGCCCTGTTCTGGGTCTGATTGACCTGGACGAGTCACGAAGGGGCTCACCTCCCCCAGCCTCACCCAGAGGGAGGCGGGACCCCACGGCCAGCCTGAGGGGGATTCTGCCTCTGGTCTGGGAAGGCGACCAGACTCTGGCTGGGCAGAAGCGGGAGGGCCCCAGGGGTCAAGGTGGCCTTTCCAAAGCAGCACTAACTGAGGAGGAGCTCACAGGGAGAGCTTGTGGGAGGGGCCGGGGCAGGTGGCAGCCAAGGGACAGGAAGCAGGGGCAAGGCGTGAAGAGGCGCATGGGGCACAATGGGAGGAGGTGGCGAGAGGGCTGAGGGCGCAGAGACGGGCCAGCCCGTTCCCAGGGTGTGCAGAGGCTCGCACACGGGGCCCCGAGGCCTTCCCCAGGGCGTGACTCTGGCGGGTACTTACTGCCAACCGCGGAGCCTGCAGCCGCACCTGCAGGGAGAGAGGGAGGGTCACAGGTGCCAGCCGCCTGCTCCCTGCCGAGGGGGTGGCAGGGCTGGGGGAGAAGACGAGGCCTCAGCGCATCTCTGAGCCTCCCTGCTCGGGGGCTGGGCCCCGTTACCCATTTCACTCTCCCGGCCGCGTTGAGAGGGAGGGGACACTGTTTGCCCATTTCACAGATGGAGAAGCTGAGTCTCAGACCCCTGACTTGCCCTAGGGGTTCTGCTGACAAGTGCGAGCTTCACATGCACCCTCTTATTTGATTTTAGATGCTTGGAAACTCTCGTGCAGGACAAGAAGGTGGGGGGCTGTTCTCCAGCGAATGGGCAGTGGGGTGTCGGAGAATATGAGGGTCCCAGCCGCGGAGGCCGGCTGCTTGACTTGGAAGCTCTGGTGGGATTTTCCACCCCAGGGAAACCAAGTCTGTGCTCCCATCTGGGCAATGTGGGGGTGGCCCAAAGGCTTGCTAAAAAATCAGCGTCGGGGTGCCCTGCGCTGGGTGCATTCAGGCACATGATAAGCATTGCCCCCATGAGCCATTTAGTCCACACAGCAACCCCACAGTGGGGTTCGTATGGCCTGATGCCACAGACAAGGAGACAGGGCTTGGGGAGAAATGACTTGTCCAGGGACACACAGCTGTGAGGGGCAGAGGCCTGCAGAGAATGAGGATGCCCCTCAGACCCCAGGATGCCACCCAGGTGGAGCTGAGATGTCAGGGTGTGTGGCACACATAAGAGTCAGGGAGGCCCAGAAGTCAGCCCAGCCAACTCCCCCACCTCCTTCACCTGCTCTGAGCTGCCCCCCAAGACTGCCTCAGGGAGCAGACGCTCTGTGGGTAGGGTGGTGAGGACAGGGATTCATGGAGGAGTGGCACAGGCTGGAGGCCATGGGCAGGATGCTGGGGCAGGCATGAGAGGAAGGTGACCTCTGACCTGGGCCTCCTGGGAGGGTGAGGGGACCAGCCAGGGGAGGGTCACAGGGGCAACACGGAGCGTCCCAAGCAAAGATCCAGGCACAAGAGACACGGGCAGGCAGTTCAGGAAAGTGGGCCTGGAAGGAGTCTGGGTTTGGGACTGGGCTGGGGAGGGATGTCCCAGGGCCTTGTACAGTGGGGGAACAATGGGAGGAGGTGGCGAGAGGGCTGAGGGCGCAGAGACGGGCTAGCCCGTTCCCAGGGTGTGCAGAGGCTCGCACACGGGGCCCCGAGGCCTTCCCCAGGGCGTGACTCCGGCGGGTACTTACTGCCGACCGCGGAGCCTGCAGCCGCACCTGCAGGGAGAGAGGGAGGGTCACAGGTGCCAGCCGCCTGCTCCCTGCCGAGGGGGTGGCAGGGCTGGGGGAGAAGACGAGGGCTCAGCGCATCTCTGAGCCTCCCTGCTCGGGGGCTGGGCCCCGTTACCCATTTCACTCTCCCGGCCGCGTTGAGAGGGAGGGGACACTGTTTGCCCATTTCACAGATGGAGAAGCCGAGTCTCAGACCCCTGACTTGCCCTAGGGGTTCTGCTGACAAATGCGGGCTTCACATGCACCCTCTTATTTGATTTTAGATGCTTGGAAACTCTCGTGCAGGACAAGGAGGTGGGGGGCTGTTCTCCAGCGAATGGGCAGTGGGGTGTCGGAGAATATGAGGGTCCCAGCCGCGGAGGCCGGCTGCTTGACTTGGAAGCTCTGGTGGGATTTTCCACCCCAGGGAAACCAAGTCTGTGCTCCCATCTGGGCAATGTGGAGGTGGCCCAAAGGCTTGCTAAAAAATCACCGTCGGGGTGCCCTGCACTGGGTGCATTCAGTGTGCCAGGCACATGATAAGCATTGCCCCCATGAGCCATTTAGTCCACACAGCAACCCCACAGTGGGGTTCGTATGGCCTGATTCCACAGACAAGGAGACAGGGCTTGGGGAGAAATGACTTGTCCAGGGACACACAGCTGTGAGGGGCAGAGGCCTGCAGAGAATGAGGATGCCCCTCAGACCCCAGGATGCCACCCAGGTGGAGCTGAGATGTCAGGGTGTGTGGCACACATAAGAGTCAGGGAGGCCCAGAAGTCAGCCCAGCCAACTCCCCCACCTCCTTCACCTGCTCTGAGCTGCCCCCCAAGACTGCCTCAGGGAGCAGACGCTCTGTGGGTAGGGTGGTGAGGACAGGGATTCGTGGAGGAGTGGCACAGGCTGGAGGCCATGGGCAGGATGCTGGGGCAGGCATGAGAGGAAGGTGACCTCTGACCTGGGCCTCCTGGGAGGGTGAGGGGACCAGCCAGGGGAGGGTCACAGGGGCAACACGGAGCGTCCCAAGCAAAGATCCAGGCACGAGAGACACGGGCAGGCAGTTCAGGAAAGTGGGCCTGGAAGGAGTCTGGGTTTGGGACTGGGCTGGGGAGGGATGTCCCAGGGCCTTGTACAGTGGGGGTTGGGGCTCGACTGTTGCCATTTTATTCTGAGGGCCCTCGGGGGGCACTGAAGGTGTGGAAGCAGGGGAGCGCCCAGGGGAGGAGGGGCAGGGGCCCCCAGGGAGGAGACGGGGAGCTGAGCAGGTGGAGAGGAGGGGCTGTGTCAGGGGAGACCCGCAGACCAGCAGCCCAGCCCCCTGGTGCCCATCGGGCCATCCCTGGGGCCGTGGGGGCAGGCGGGCTTAGCCCGGGCTGGCTTCAGTCCGTCAGGGAGGGTGGGATCCGGTGACAGGCTGCATCTCCAGCCTCAGCCCTGCCCCCAGGTACACCAGGAGAAACCCCTCCTTCCCTGGGCTGGGGGGCCTCGCAGACAGATCCTGGGGATCCTGGGGAAGCAGGGAGAGGGGCCAGCCTGGGGAGCTCCCTCAAACCAGGAAGCTTGGACTGCTTTGCCGGCAGAGGGCAGGGAGGCCCAGAGGGGAAGTCCTGTCCGCCCTTCGCTGCCGAGACAGAGCATGGGGCCTGCGTGTGACCTGCAGGTAAAAGTCTCAGTCTGCGGGTGCCCTGAGACCGTGCCGTTCTCCTGCAGAACGGGACGCTGGGAGGACCCAGAGGAGGCGGGAGGAGGGGAGAGGCGGCAGGACAGAGGAGGAGGTGACAGCCGGGGAAGAAAGGGGTCAGCGCCTGCGGGGAGGCCGCGACCGGCTGTCAGCGTGCAGGCCATCTCTGGGCCTTTGAAGGCCCGGGAGTGCTGAAGGCCCCTTCAAAGGCCTGCCACCGCCGGTCCAGCCCCTGCAGACTTGGCTGTCACGCCCGCTGTGAGGCTTCAGCCTTGATCAGCCTAACGTCACATAAATCTTTCGCTTCGGAGGAGGCGGGCGGTGATGGAGGGGCTCCTGCCGGTGTGCCCAGGAGGGCGGGTGGGTGGGCGTCCTGGTGCGGGAGGCCGCTGCCCAGCCCTGGCTTTGGAGGTAGGTCCAGCGACTGGCTGTGAGTCCCAGCACTGCACCTAAGTTGTCAGCCCTAGGTGGGTGCTGGCTGATAGGGAGGTGGGGTGATGACACCCCTGCAGGGTGGTTGTGGGGGCTAAGAAGCTGCGTATGAAGTGCCCGGGGCAGCCTCTGTGCCAAGGTGCTTGCAAATGTCAGAATTGGTGAAATCACTAGGGGTGGGCCGGGGAGAGCCCTGCCGGGGGCCAGCCCTGGCCCTTCGCTGCAGCCCAGGGCTCCCTGGGATTTGTGACTTCATGGAGACACCCGTGGGCTATGCTGGGGCCCCAGTGAATGGGGATCCCATCAGACGTGTTCATGATGCAGGTATGTGTGAGCACACCCTGTAGAGTGCCTCCCTGCAGAGACTGCTGGGACTGCCGAGCCATGAGCAGAGAGGACTGTACCCAGAGCAAGGGCGGGGACTCGGGCCGGGCCTCAGGGGAACCCTCTGTGAAGTGGGATAATGAGAGACCCGCCTGCAGGAGCCGCCTCTGGGCCACAGTGAGCGCAGTGAGCAGGCGGCACTTGGCCCCGTGCAGCTGTAAATGCCCCGTAAAGCCTGGGTCTGAGGGGTGCAGCTGCTCCTCAGAGCCAGCCTGGAGGGAGGGGTCTTCGCCATCCTCCTCCCCGACACCCATGGGGCCGCCTCTCTAGCCTTCAGGGTCATGAAGGTGAAGGACAGCCAGGAAGATAATGAGCAGCTCATCTCGGGTTTCCCAAGGGCCAGGGCCGGAAGAGCGGCTTAGGTTTCAGCAGGATGCAGGGGCACTAGAGGGCCTTGATTTCAAGGCCTGGCAGTTAGGAGCCTCTTAACAAGGAGTGTGTGCACGTCTGTGCTCGTGTTTGTCTGTGCATGTGTTTATGTGTGTGCACTTGTATGTTTGTGTGTGTGTGTGCATGCGTGTGTCATCCAGAGCTCCGGGGGTTGAAGGGTTGGGGAGTCATGGCCTCAATGGCTTGAGGCAGGTGGGGTAGGGGGCACAGTGCCGGGGATGCTGTGGCTGCTCAGCTGGTACGTACAGGCGTTGGGAGAGCCGTGGGGCAGCGGCAGGTAGGAGCCAGCCCGCCAGGACCGGGTGCGGAAGTTCTTCTTGCATCTGCCGCAGTCGGGGCCCGTGGTGTTATGCTCACACTCGCACTGCAGGCTGCCCTCACGCACGGAGCACAGGTTGGCGTGCAGGTTGCACTTGCACCTGGGGGGACACAGAGGGGCAGGGACGTCAGCACACTCCTGGGCAGGTGGCAAGGGCCTGGGAGGCTGTGGGGGCTGCTGGCCTGGAAGGAATCCTGGAGGCCACAAGGCCAACCTGCCACGACTCACCTCCAGGACAAAAAAAATTCCAATGTCCCTCCCATAGCGGGAACAACACCAGTTGCCTTCTTTCCCAGGATGAACGCTGGCCCTGGACTGGCTGCTATTAGGGTGGGTGACCAGATGTCCCTGTCCCAGATGCTGTGTTTTAGTAACACAGCTCCTTGACCCAGGTGGGCTGGCAGGTAGCAAGAGCTGCTCAGCACCTGTCCTGTGTAGATGTGGGCCTGGCCCCAGGCTGCACCTCTGCTCCCAGTGTGGCCCAGGCGCACGCCCTTGAGGGCAGACAGAGAGAACCCCTGACTCCCACCACCCCCATCAATTCATCCGCATATGCATTATTCATTCATTCATGCAAATATTTATAGGCAACTCTTTATTCTGAAAACCGGTAAATAAAAGGAAAGAATCAAGTGATTGTCCTGCCTGTCTTATACAAACTGTGTCTCCAGGTAACCAATAGTTGAGGGGATGTTGCTTTTTATAGGAGCATTCCAGCTAATAATTTAAGGAGAAATGGTAGGATCAGAAAGTTGCCATTTAGCATCCCCTGCTTTATGAATGGTCTAGGCTCTGAGGATCAACAGCCTGGAACGTGCCAGAGAGAAGCTGCTGGATAGAAGGCCACACCCCATGGGAAGTAGTCTCATCAAAACAAATCGAGCAACTTGAACCTGATCAAGCCTCTGGGTCCAGCTGCAAATCACAGGCACACAGAGTACAGAGAAGCGTGCTAAATAACACCGGGGACGTGATCAGCAAAGCCCAGATGGAGGGAAACTCCAGAATGAGGACCCAGTTTCTTTAACAGATGAATTTCAAGGGGCTGAAACTTATGAGGAGACGCCTAGATCAGGAGAAATCTCAAAGGCACGTCAACCAGCTGTGGGGCGCGGACCTCGTCTGGACCTTAATTCAAACAACCTCTGAACTCAAACAGAACGTATGTTCATGGGACAACCGGAAATGTGAACAGACCTTCTGTGATGATATTAAATTAATGTTTATTAAGTGCAATGATGGTGTTGTGCTTCTGTTGTCACAAGTCCTTATTTTTAGAGGTACCCACTGAAATATTTACAGATGAAATTATCTGATGGCTGGGATTTGCTTCAGAATAACACAGGACGGGAGAACATGGGCCAAGATCCAGATGAAAATGAGAAAGGCCGGAAGTTGACAGTTGCGGGAGTCAGGTTACAGGTGCGTGGTGGCTCATTCTATAGGAGATTCCAGTCTTGTATGCATGTCGGAAATCCACCATAATAACAAGTTAAAGAGAGAGTGTGCTCTATATTCTGATACAGGAAGATGTCCAAGGTATATTGTCAATATTGGCAAAAAGCAAATTGCAGAAAAACATGTTTAATACAAAGAAAAGCATGTATAGGGCACCTGTTATGTGCCAGGCTGTTAGCTGGGAACAGTGGGGATATTACAAAGCACATGGGGTCCCTGCTCTGATGGAATATATGGTCCAGCAGGGAGATGATTTGAAAAATCAGTGATGGGGGAGGGGAGGAGGGATGAGCGGGTGGAGCACAGGGGGTTACAGGGCAGTGAAGCGATTCCGTGGGACACTCTCCTGGTGGATATATGACATCATGCATTTGCCAAAACCCGCAGAGCTGCACAACAAGGAGCGTGAGCCCTAGTGTAAAGCGGTGGACTTCAGCAAGTAGTGACGTGTCAGTGGAGGTTCATCCACTGTAACAAACGTACCAACTAATGCAGGATGTTGATAGCAGGGGGACTGTGTGCTGGGAAACAGGAACAGGGGTTATTAGGAACTCCCCATACTGTCTGTGCCATTTTCTGTAAGCCTAAAACTGCTCTAAAGAATAAAGACTGTTTATTTAATAATACTAATCATGCAAATCTTTGATCAGCTGTTATAGGGGCCCAAGCATTATGTTATACAAAAGACAGGGTACCATGGGAGCCCTAACTTTGCCTAGGGGCAGCAGATAGGTTTCGAGGAAGAAGAGTTTTAAACTAAGACCTGAAGGAGGATCGAGAGTTGGCCAGGCGAGGAGGGGAGAACCTTCTGGAAAGAGACAAGAGCAGGAGGGAAGCCCCCCTCACCCCCCGGGACCGGTAAGAGCTCCACCCCGAGGTCTGAGATGAACCCAGCCAGACCATGGCACAGAGGTCGGATTTTATTCTGCAAGAACTAAAAGCCACTGGAAGGTTGGATGTGTCCTGCTTGTATTTCACATCCTGTTGTCTGGGGGACAAGAGCCAGGGAAATCAGGGAGAAAGCTGTGTCCCTCCAGCAACAGCGGACAGTGGCTTGGGCGAGGGTGGAGGCACATACAGCCGCCAGTGACGCCTGGCGCGGGCGGCACTTCCCTCCCAGGCTCATGTCACCCCAAAGACCATCTCCAGATGCCTAAACAGCGATCCTCCACTCACACTCTCCCCCTCTCTCTCCGCACCCCGCCTTGCACTGCACCCGGCTCGACGTTTCACTCTTCCGCTGCACAAGCCTCGAACCCTCCTGGCCAGAGAGCCTCCCTTTGATCTCTGCTTATCCACACAGTGAATGTCTAACTCCTCGCCTCTCTCCTCCTCTCAGTCAGTCCTGCCAGATGCCCATCTCCGCCCTCGCTGCCCCCTGCCTTGCCCTGTCTCCGTCCGACTGGAGCTCTGCTGTGGGGCCGCCTTCTCGGGCTGTCTCGGCACCCACTGCCCCACAGCCCTGAGCTCACTGACTGTGGGCATCGGAATCACCAGGGCTGCCTGCCTCCTTGTAGCTCCTCTCTGCGCTCCAATTATCCTGCAGAATGGTTAAGGAGATTCAGGCACGTCCATGTGATGGAATATGATAATATGGAATATTAATATGTCATCAGTATAACATTATAACATATATTAAATATGTTGTCAAAGGCCGTGGGGAATGCTCCTAATACAAATGAAAAGGCCACACCTACCAAGTGCCAGTGGGTGTCCCATTCGATCCTCTAATGGGCTCAAGAGCTGGTACTGTTGTTACCTTCACTTTACAGACAAGGGAAAGGAGGCTCAGAGAGGTTATGTTTCTTGCCCAGAGTCACAGGGCTGTCCCAAAACATGACAGGGACTGGAACTCAGACATATGCAACTCTACAGTCCAAGAGGCGAACATGGGATAGAACATGGATTGTAAAAAAGTAGGATATGGATTATAGGTATTAGAGGGCCGTGGACTGAACCGTGTCCCCCTCAATGCGCATGTTGAAGCTGTAACCCCCCAGCGCGGCTGTGATTGGAGACGGGCCTTTAGAGAGGTGATTAAGGTGCAGATAACAAATGCTATTTAAAAGCAGGACGTCGGACCAGGGTGGGGAGCACGCCTTGCCTCTCAGGAGGAGAAGCAGGGCCATCAGGCCCGGTGGGCGGGGGAGGGGGGCGCTGTGCCGGAAACCATTGCTCCACTGTTTGTGATTCACGATTCCCGAGTCCGAAGATGTCTCCTGAATCCTCTGGGACAGAATTCTGAGGCGGAGCAAAGGCCCCATCCAGTGGTATCATCAGGTGCTGAGGTCTGTGTCATTTTGACTGCAGCTTCCCCATGACAGCCTGGACACTGGCCCATCAAGGTATTACTACAAGGCAGGGCTGAAAAAAGGGAGCCTGAAGAAGCCTGCCCTTGGCTTCCGATCCGCGACCACGCAGGTGCTGTGACTCGGCTCCGGGGAAGTCTCTCCTAACTGGGGACCCTGGGCTCCAGGGACGGTCCTCGATAAGGAAAGGTGTTCTGCTGAGCCCCTCATGGCCAGTGCATGCGATACTTCCCTGACACCCTCACACTCCTGCTCCCTGGCGCCCCCAACGCAGCACCACAGTGCACATGGGCAGATTATAGGCTCTGACAAGTACTGCAGGAAAGAAACATGTCTGACTTTGTCTAACAAAAGTTTGTTTGCAGAATGTATTTGACCTCAGAAGGTTTTATTTATGCATTTCTTCTGAATTCCTATTTAACACCCCACTGAGCTAGCTGGAGAGGAGCTCCCCACCTGTGTGGAACCAGGAATGTGCTCCACGCTTCTGGCCTGAGGACAGGATATTTTTAGATATCAGCTAAAGAAAAGATTGCCATCTCAACTTTGGGTGATAACATTGACCTTGGCTTGTTAAAAAAATGTGTAACAGATCAACCAGCTGAATCTAAGATGCATGTGGTAATGATGAGAGCAGGGAGTGGCGGGATGTCAGAGCCGGACAGGCCCTCACGGGTATAGGTGGGGGAGAAGCCTGCTCAGAGTCAACCCTTGCTTACTCTGGACCCAAATCCAGACATTCCTCCCCGACCCGGGCTCTGCCTCGGTCCCATGCCGGCCAGCGTCCCCACCAGCCTCATCTCCCAGAGGGTGTCTCGGCTTCTCCACCCTCCCCGGCTGAGCTCTGGAATGAGCTGGGTGCTTCCTCTACTAGGGAGAGAAGTTCCCTGCTGGGCAGGGCTGCCAGGAAGAGCCCACCTAGTACGGGGAGCCTCGCCAGGGCTGGCACAGAAACAGAAGCCAGTCAGTGGGGAGGTGCTCCTCAGATGTCCTGACTTCTGCAGGAAGCTCTGGGTGATACTGCCTGTGTGTGTGTGTGCATGTGCATACGTGCATGTGTGTGTGTGCACACGTGGCTTGGCCTTTCTGGCTCTCTCCTTGTGTGTGTGTGTGTCTCTCCATGTCGCTGTGTTTCTCTCTCCCCATCTCTGTCCAGAATGTGTCTGATCTTCCTCTGGCCCTCTGCACATGCGGCGCCCTCCGCCCCTCCTCCTAAAGCTCACGCCTAAGGAAGTGTCAGGTATGAGGCCGAATGACACGCCTGCGGGGTGGGGGGAGCCTTTCACAGTCCTCGCCTTCCCGCGGTCCGCTGTGTGCTCCCTCGCCCTGGTCA